CATAACCAAACACCTTACCATTACACCAACATTGAGTAATAACAATGCATAGACATCGTAGCAATTCATGAACAGTCTCGAAACCATAGGAAATACAGATACTGAGCTGGAACAAAGAACATCCTTCCGCAAGGCGACGACAATAGCTTGCCCAAACATGCAGGGAAAACATCCTGCACCATGTCTGTAGTATCACTACAACTCCTCGATGCCCAATTGATAACAGTGCTTCGTGTCGCATAAGATTGAGTAGGAAGTAACTAAATGCACAATCCTCAATGGAATCAAATCGCACAATGAGGAATCAAGAAGGGAATTGCTCCTTACAGCCCTGTAGCATCTCAAAGATAATTACAAGTGTCTATGTACCGATCCGCAAGATTCTACCGGACTTGCTCATGACTCGTGAGACCTAAATGGACCTAACGCTCTGATACCAAGTTATCACGACCCAAAATCCACTATAGGTCGTGTTGGCGCCTTACGCCGCCGTTAGGCAAGCCAATCGTGATTAATCAATTACATTTCTCATTTTTAGCATTTTGAAATCATAATTTTTTGTTAATTAAATAGTAGAAATAGAATTGCAAGGAAAAATGATAATGACTACATGAACTGCAATAACGAACAACCAACAGAAATTCCCAAAACCTGGTGTCATAAGTGCATGAGCATTTTCTAAGGAGTAGAATAATAACATAACATCTGTCCCAAACGTAATAGGACATAATAAAACAAGCAGTACAATGGAGACTCGGAGGACTGCGATGTGTAGCCTGAAAATGCAACTAACATAAAGTCTCCTCAACAGGTGCGCCTGCGTGCCAAGGTGATCATCAAATGAACCTGTCAGATCCTGCACATTTAGTGCGGAAGTGCAGCATGAGTACGTAAATCAACCCGTACCCAGTAAGTATCTAGCCTAACCTCGGAGAAGTAGTAACGAGAGATAGACATTGACGCTTACTAAAGGTCCAATAAAACAGTATAATAAAACATGAGCAGATATTAAGCATACGACAGTGATGGGGTAATTATGTAAGTTACATAATCTTCCAAATATTTCTTTTTAAAGCACGAATTTCTAAATCTTGAATTCTACCTTAACAACTCAGAAATGTCAAGTGCCAATATCAAATAAATAAGGGATATCATATTAAAATGCTAGGTATCAGTGGAAAGGTTAGCTCGTGAAATTTGAACTACTAGCGATATAATGCACGATTCTGCCGAGGTCGTTCGGCTCGATCCAGAATAACGTGTACACTGCCAAGGGACGTATGACATGATCCATAGATGCATCTATATACTGCCGAGGCATTCGGCCCTCTCCACAAGAAAGGAAGTAAAAATTACCACATACGAGGCATGTGCTTATAATACAGTACTTGGCCACAATAATAATTATACTCTTTTATTTTTATCAAATATCTTTGGCAACAACTCTAGGTGATAAAGATCGACCTAATGTATGCATATATATATATATATA